TCAGAAGAGGAAGAGAGGATGCTTGAAGAAATGACAAGAGGTTACGTGATGGATGATTTTGAATTCGGTCTACAGTCTAAGTCGGCACTGCCTAGGGAATCTGATTCCAGTGGGTCGTTTTCGGGTCGGACTTGGCATAGCTCCAGTGGTTCCATACCCCCGCTCAGCAATATCACCGCAGCACCGACGATATCACCAGTTGTTTTATCGCAGCCTCAAATTCAACCACCTCACCCGCCGCCTTCTCAAGCATTGCCTGCACCACCAACCCTTGACGGTAGCCCGGTAAGAAAAAGTAGTCCAGCGCAGAGTGTTCGAAGCAGAAGGCTATCTGGTCAGAACGCCAAACAATTAAAAATTGAGACATCATCAAGGTTGATTGAAGTTCAAAATGCTCCCTTGACTTTGCCTCCATCAATACCGCCGCCACAAATTCCTGATGGCTTTGCAGGTCCTAAGACTGCCGGTTTACTACAACACGGGCTAGGTTCGATCAGCCTTCGAGCAGCTATTCCCACACGACAAGGTTCAATCTCAGGACCGAGCTCTTCAGATTATACTTCTCCTCCGACAGCATTCCTTACCCAGACACTCACAAATGATAGCAACGACAACTTCAACTCTATACCTCGATCAGGATCACCAAACCGTTCCCACTCAAGAGCAGGACTGCGAAAGAATTTTTCCTCATCAAGTTTGAAGAATGTCCGAAGTCACACTATGTCTATTTCCAATATGGACGAATTTGGTGATGTCATGCCACCTACGCCAATGACTGGACAAGGTAATCATATCAATGGAAGAATGCCTGCCATGCCCACTCTACCAACACCGATTGCTGCCGCGTTTAAAGAGAAGATGAACGGTGCACCTACTGGGGGCCTTTATCTTTTCAACAATGATCTTCACTCTCCAGAAAGCCCGGGTTCGCCAAATCCAATGAGTGCAGGTGCACCAATACCATTAGAGCCTTGCCCAACGGAACATCTCCTTCGTCCATTCTGGCTTATGCGGGCTTTGTATCAAACTATTGCACATCCGAGGGGTGGCTATCTATCCACTAAATTGTTCATACCTCGAGATGTATGGCGTGTGAAGGGTGTTAAGATTAAGGGAGTCGAAGACAAAATCGCTAGTTGTGACTTCCTTACAGCAGCTTTGATGAAGCTAGGTCAAGTTGATACTTGCGACGCTGATGCTGTTTTGGAAGAAATGCAAGCTTTGGAAGGGATTCTGGAACAGGTCCAAATCACACTCAGTAAAAAGCTGGGCAATGAAGTTGGCGTACATGGCTCGAATGGGATGTTCAAGGACGCAACAACTATGGGTGATCCCATGGACTTTGCTAGTACGAGTACTAAATCTGGAAATACATCTAGCAAGACCTCTTCGTTCTCATGGAGACGCCTACGTTCGAAGAATTCCGCCATGGGTCTCGCCAACAATTACTCAAATAAGGTCACGTCTCCTGAGATACCCAAGGAAGGGCTAACCATGGGTACATTACCTATGACGTCTGCCCCTAGATCTCGATTTGCCAAGAGAGATGTTAGTCAAGTGCAATTTTCTGGACCGAATGCAAATTATATGAGTGCTTTGGCGAAGCTATTTGACGCTGCACAAGCTATTGGTATGTAACAATCCTATCCCACTTTGATCACCCACAGAACTAACTAGATGAGCAGATCAAATTGCACGTCAAGTTGAAGATCCTGGTCTTCGCCATGCAGATAAAACTCAAGTTGGGCTCGAACTTTGCACTCGTCACGCAGCTGAGTTCTTCGGATTTTACATCTGTCGTTTCGTGTTGAATGACATTTCATTGCTTTTGGACAAGTTTATCAAAAGAGGAAGTGAATGGGTTCTAGTATAACGCTTGCATTTGTTATTTGTGGTGATATTTTTTGGATGTTATTGTGCTTTAGGGATTAAGAGCTGGAAGAATACGTTTAAGGAAGAAAGTTCATGGAGAAGGTTCATGCTTTCTAATATTTTATTGTGGGAACTTTCTGTGACAAGGATGATGGAATTGGAATGGAGTATTGTGTTGTGAATGGGCGTATTTGGGATGGATGGAATTATATTATACCTAGGTACTTGCCATACAAAATTATGGATGTGGGTTCTTGGGATGGATGGGTGGTGGCGGCTTGCATGCATTCGTAATTTTTGATGAACGATACCATTACAGAGAAATTGAAGGAAAAGATAGGATTGATGAAGTGGAGGAGTCACATCGTGTGAAAAGAAGAGAAGGAATATAAAGGGGTTAAGAGGAGGAAGAGAATGAAAAGAGGGATTTTATGATCGAAGGGCATTTGTATAGCTGTCCTATTTGCGTATATTTAGATACCTATCAATACTGGTACTATGGATGAACATCAGATGATGAATGAAGAGAAGCGGAGGAGGAGGAGGAGGGAAAAAGAAATAGCGTGTTGGAATCTGAAAGGGGGATGAGATGTTGATTGAGAGGAATGAATTAAAGGATATATTTATATTTATATTATATTATATGAATGAATAAACGAACGAACGAATGAGTGTTGTATTTTATTGCGTTATAGTATATTATATTATATTATATTATATTATATTATATTAGATTATATTATATTATATTATATTATATTATATTATATTATATTATATTATATTATATTATATTATATTATATTATATTATATTATATTATATTATATTATATTATATTATATTATATTATATTATATTATATTATATTATATTATATTATATTATATTATATTATATTATATTATATTATATTATATTATATTATATTCATCGAGTAAAGAAAGAAAGAAACTTAAAGAAAACTTAATTATGAATATTATTCTATAAATAGCGGGGAAAATAGAAGGAATTATTTAGTATATATATATAAAGAATACTATATATTATATATTATCTGAATAATTATAGTTATTATTGTAGTTGTAATTGTAATTATGATTTATTTTTGTGTTTTTCTTTATATTGTTTTATATGTTTTATATATAATAGATGTATAGATGGGTGGGTAGATAGTAGTAGTTGTAGTTGTAGGTGAGATGTGAGATATGAGATTAGGAAGGAGGTGATGAGGAGATATATGATGAGGGAGAAGGAGAAGGAGAAGGAAAAGGAGAAGGAGAAGGAGAAGGAGAAGGAGAAGGAGAAGGAGAAGGAGAAGGAGAAGGAGAATAAAATCTAATCGACTAATAATATACTTCAAGTATCTATAGATAGTTAAGCTTGAGAAATTAAGAAGTGATGTAAAGTAATATGAATATCTGGTTTTCTTAAAGAATTAGATTGGATTGAATTTAGTTGATTAGAATGTAGATATTTGGGGATTAGAATATTTAAGGATTCGAGTATAGATAGATATTTAGGGATTGAATTTTATAGATTAGGATAAGTTTGTTGGGATTAATTGGGATATTTGAATGAGTGTGATACTTGAGTAGTAAGATGATTGATATCATGATTGATATGATGATTGGTATGATGATTGGTATGATGATTGGTATGATGATTGGTATGATGATTGGTATGATGATTGGTATGATGATTGGTATGATGATTGGTATGATGATTGGTATGATGATTGGTATGATGATTGGTATGATGATTGGTATGATGATTGGTATGATGATTGGTATGATGATTGGTATGATGATTGGTATGATGATTGGTATGATGATTGATACCATGACTAGTTGAGTAATGACAGATTGAATTGAGGAGTCAATGAACTGCTGGGTGGTAGATTTTGACTGGAATCCTGATATTAGATATTGGATGTGAGATAAGATGTTAAGTAATTGGAGAATGGAGAGAAGAATGGAGAAGAGAATAAAGAAGAGAATGGAGAAGAGAATAGAGAAGAGATAGATTTTGATGATTAAAAGTTGAGAATTGAAAATTGAGAATTGAGAATTGAGAATTGAGAATTGAGAGTTGAGTGTTGAGTGTTGAAAGTTGAGAGTTGAAAATTGAGAGTTGAGAATTGAGAGTTGAGAATTGAAAATTGAGAATTGAGAGTTGAGAGTTGAAGTTGAGAAATCTCTAATAGCTTTTATATATATCTAAATACTGAATACTAAATACTATATACTAGATATTAAATATTAAACATCAAAAATACAATCAAAAACACAATCAAAAGAAAAAGAATTAATATACAATTTCATATTTAATAACCAAATCAAACCTAACCCAAACCCAGACCGAAATAAGTAACGAAATAAGAAAAGATAAAGATATATTCTACAGGATGAGATATAGATTCAGTACAGTATATCTATCCAGTATATAAATCAATGAATCAATACAACACGATACAATACAATAGGAGGTAAGACTTATATAAACTCATGAGAACTTTTTTAAAGGAGTGAAATGTATAGGGAATATAGGTATATATCTAGCGTTGGAGTTTTATAGATCCTAGAAAGATACTTACTTGCTATCTGACTATGTGATTATATAATTGATCTAAAAGGGGATTCCCATAAATTTTTGGACGTTTGAGATGATGGGCCAATGGTTCAAAAGCTGTTTTCAGATACAAGCTCATCGTCGTCTCATGAATTGATATATTTACTGTTGAATTCTTAGATACTGGTTCCTGTTTAAAAACTTCAAGAGAGGAATGGTTCAATTGCAATGCAAGGAAAGTATGCTAAGAAAGGAACATGAGCAAATTCATCAATTAGAAAGGTAGATGCACGCAAAACAAGTATCAAAGATTTCAATATTATTTATTTCTAGAATAGACATCAGTCAGTCTTGCTGCTGTGTGTGTTTTGACCCCCAACTCCATGAACATTCGAGTCATCAATCTTTCCCTTGTCATCAACCTTTGTTTCCACAACCACAATACGTCTTTTCAAAAGAGACATGGCCATCAAGACTTCTCATCAACTACCAGTGCCCATATAGTATGGACATGCTCTCCGGTTGTCTTTTGCATTCTCTCCGCTCAACCCAGCAACTTAAACTGGGTTACCAGTCTCCTTCATAGCCATGTTTGGTTGAGGATAAGCCTTTCCTCTTCCTCCCTTAAACATCTCCAATGCAAGAATAGCACTGCTTCCCATCCAAAGTAACCAACTGAAAGCACCAAAGACTGCATCGGCACGAGCTGCTCCACAGACAGAACCACGACAGAAAAGAAGCTTGCTGATGAAGACGGAGAGGGCAATGAAGCCTGCGAAGTAGAAAAGAACGTTGAGAAGCTCAAATGTGAGATGTGCGTATGGGTGAGATGCTGATGAATGTTAGAAAATTGTGTATGTACTTTTGAAAGTGATAAAGGTACCTTTCGACATGAAGCGGGGTGCAACTTCAAGATAGACAATGGAAATCAAAGTAAAGACAGGTACGAAAACCAAGAAGTTGATTTGAGAAGGACTTGCGGTCAGAGTATCGGCATTGTACCAGTGGGAAACTATGTGGTATGTTAGCAGTTATCCCTTGGTATGCCAATCATTAATATTTCTCATACCATATCCGGACAAGCCAAGTACGACGATAGCAAAAACTGCTTGAGCAATTCGAATAGGAAGAAGTAATCCAATCGCCATTTTGAAATTAAAGTATCGTTATTTGGGAAATCTTGTTGTCGTGAAATGGATGATCTTAATAGTCGTGGGAAAATGCAGCTGCAACTTGGGCGCGCGTAAATGAGTGAATTCGAAGAGGATGTATACAGATTGAAAAAGGAGACAGGTGGAGAAAAGTTGAAAGGAGATGAAATACAAAGAGTCACAGACTGATATTATAATTACAAAAGAATTAAGTAGACAAAGTCTGAAGGCCGAATGGTTTCCATTGCAGCCAAAGTGGAAAAGATGCATAAACTCAGTATCATGTTTGAAACGGTATATCAATCCATCGCACAGATCATGCCGGTTCTCAACTCCCTACCAAGCAAGGATCTACGGCATTACATTGAAGGCACAGGGCTATATGACCAATGATAATTGTTAACGACGTCCTGGCTACAGTGGAGAAAGGCCTGCTTGCGTTCCCCGCGATGCGTAGGACAATTCAACCGCTGAGTAACCTGACTGAGCATATTTATTATTGGAATTCAGCATCACGACCAATGATAGGATGTGCTGACTGCAATCATCAAATGATCTTCTCCCGCAAACGCGCGCATTGAACTGTATTACCTCAAAGCCCACTGACCCTGAAATATCCACCTCTAAGAAGATTCTACACTGCAGACTGAAGTACTTTGGTGAAGCGTACATCTCACAACCTTAACAGTAATAACCAATTGAAACAATAAGTACGCTTTGTCTAGAAGTTGAGAATTATCCGCTCGGACATCTCACAAGTTTCTATTTATCTCAGAGCATGAAACACCAACTACAACACAAATTCACTAACTCAACCACAAAGCTTAAAAAGGGATATACTCATCTCAACCTACAAGTAAGTTCTAGTGCCGCCTCGTAGGAAGTTCCAAGAGTGTCAGTGTTGTGTTGCCAAGAAAGAAGCACAAGATTGAGGTTCATATATTGATTCGCATCTTCGAGCTTTGCGTTTGAAGGCGGCGGAACATGAGACGTTCTTAAGCTACGACATCTGAAATGCTTGGACATGACCTTGATATCATAAGTCATCCTTCGCAATGTTATTGGATTGCCGTGTCAGATATCTGTTGTGGAAGTGATGTTGAGAAAAGTTACTTGGTGTATCATCTGGAGTTACGGAGGAACATCACGGCGCCATGGTGCATGGAAAGACAAAGCTGTGATTCGTAGGCCAATGTCGTTTGAATAGAAAATCTGATCTGTAATGCAACACGAAGTGAAGTCGTAACACCAAAATGGATTTGTTGTTGAAGCCAGTAAATTGTTTGGAAACTGTGCTCGCTGTGGTAATGAAAGGAGGGTCAAAGCCCAGGGCTGATAGTTCTGGTAAGACCAACCACCAGGCAACTTTGATCAGATGAGTAAGCAAGCCTCAAAATATCAAGATGATGTCGAAAGGACCGGAAGGATGAAATGAAGCCATTCAGACCACCACTTTTCAATCTAATGTTGTCTAATCTTCGATGAGCTCTCCCGTTCTCATCCCTTATACCTCAAGAATGAAAGAATGAAAGAAATGACGTGCTCAAGCCAATGAATGTATAATGTATTACCCCACCATGGCCATCAATTCAATTGGAAAGAGCTGTTTGTCTTACCAAAAGGGAATGAGGGGAAACAAAGATTTTAATCTCTTGATTTAAAAAGCTTCCCGGCGCTCATTTTCTTTTCTTTTCCTTTCTTTCCTGTGAATTTTTAAATCTCTCAAATCTTATTCAACTCCGAATCGAAGAACAATCGATCAATCACCATGGCACCTGTTGAAAGCACTCATTTCGAGACTCTACAGCTTCATGCTGGGTTCGTGCTATGCCACTTCTTCCCCGCACTTTCAAGACAAGGCTAATTAGATTTTGTCGACGGTAGACATGAGCCGGATTCAGCAACAAATGCAAGAGCTGTGCCAATCTATGCTACCACGGTCAGTCTGCTCATGTCAGAGAATCCTATGATCTTAAGAGCTAAATATGATATCTATAGAGCTTCACATTCAATGACTCTGCTCATGGAGCTAGGTTGTTTGGCCTCAAAGAGGTTGGACATCTTTACAGTCGTATTTCGAACGTATGTATCACCCAAGCTATGTTCTATCCGAAGTCGAAGAAAAGTCGTTGAGATTTGGCATCTGATTTCTTGAAAATTGGCAACGTCTGTGATGAAAGTTGGCATCTCAATTCTTAAGAATTGGCATTTCTTCGTTCAAAATTGGCGTCTCAGCAATTTCCAATTCCTAAACTTCATTGCCAAGTACAACACCAAGATCTTAGCTAACTTGGCAACAGCCAACTGTCGAAGTTTTCGAAAAGCGGATTGCAGCTCTTGAAGGTGGACGAGGAGCGGTAGCATCTTCCTCTGGTCAAGCAGCCCAGTTTAGTATGTCATCTTGACTAATTTCATCTCTACCCTCACTCCTTCCTTCACCACATCACCCCTTTGATATCATGCCATAAGCGAATGTGTGCTAATACTCCACTAAAGTGGCCTTTGCCGCATTGGCCCATGCCGGAGACAATATCGTATCCACGACGAATCTTTATGGAGGAACATACAATCAATTGAAGGTTTTCCTTCCAAGATTAGGCATAAATACCAAATTCGTTCAAGGAGACAAGGCAGAGGACTATGCGAAGGCTATAGACGAAAATACAAAAGCTGTGTACGTTGAGAGTATTGGAAATCCAAGATATAATGTTCCAGACTTTGAGGCTATTGCCAAAGTTGCACACGGTTAGTGATTATACTACATCTTAATCTGGTTCTGGCTTGACTGCTTGAAGCTCCTGATTTTGTTCATGAGAAATACTAATTTCATACTTAGATGCCGGAGTTCCTCTCGTCGTTGATAACACATTTGGAGCAGGAGGATATTTCTGCCGCCCCATTGATCATGGAGCAGACATTGTCGTACACTCAGCCACTAAATGGATTGGCGGTAATTATGTGTTTCGCTGTCAGATATTGTGATTCCTTCTAACTTGGTTCTAATAGGACACGGAACTACCATAGGTGGCGTAGTCATTGATGCAGGAAATTTTGACTGGGGAAAGCACGGCAAGCGATTCCCGGAAATGGTTGAACCATCCCCTGGATATCATGGACTAAAATTCTGGGAAACATTTGGACCTGACACTTTTATTACTCGTGTTAGAGTTGAGGTTCTTCGAGATTTGGGAAGTTCATTGAATCCATTTGGAGCATTTCAATTGATCCAAGGGCTTGAGACTTTGAGCTTAAGAGGAGAGCGACATGCTCAGAACTCATTGGCGTTGGCAAAATGGCTTGAGAAGAATCCACACGTTTCCTGGGTTTCATATCCAGGATTGGAAAATCACCCATCCCATGAGTTAGCCAAGAAATACTTGCCTCGTGGATTTGGTGGTGTCTTGAGTTTTGGGGTTAAAGGAGGAGGAGAAGCTGGTAGCCAGGTTGTTGATGGCTTCAAATTGATTTCTAATCTAGCCAATGTTGGAGATTTAAAAACTCTAGCCATTCATCCATGGTCTACAACCCACGAACAACTTTCTCACGACGAAAGATTGGCCTCTGGTGTCACTGAGGTAAGACTTCATTAGACATCCAATGTTGTGAATTTGACTGAATCTTGTTTTATAGGATCTCATCAGAATCTCGGTTGGCACAGAACACATTGATGATATCATTAAGGATTTTGAACAATCATTCGAAGCAGCTTCTGCAGCGAAGACAAGTGGTGGTAACGACTCAAATGCCGAGAAGACTGGTAATGTTAGTGGTGATGCTAAATTGGTTGTTTAAATGATTCCCCCCCCCCTTTTTAAAGTATTCTTCAAACTTTCTCTGGCTAGGTAAATGTGAACGTGGTAGAAGTTTTTGATGGACGATCAATCTACAGAATACTGATAAGATACTATTTGCTACAAAGTAATAATACAAATAACTATTCATTCAATTCAATCAACAACAAACAAATCTTTACTGTGATACCGATAGATTGGTTAAAGTACCAACTCGGATGCAAATAAGCGTCTACCGAACACTACATTGCATCTGTACCTCGCTGTCTGACCACTTTTCTTCGTGGAGAATTTTATGATTGTTGATTCAGATCCTCTCTCTACCCAATATTCTCCCCCTATCAGAACGGATATGTCGGTCATTTCCAATCCTTCACGAATTGTGATTGCGATTTACAAAGCTTCTCCACATTCTGGAATGATTTTATGCCCCAGCGCTCAGATACCGAGGTAAAACGAAACGCGACCATCGAGGCTTCGGGCGAGGCCACTCTCCATTTCTTCACATGCACCCTTTGAAGGAAACTTGATACCTACTTGATCTATTCTATTTACAAACTTCACTCGCTGTTGGAATTAATTTGGCTTTGTTTATTCGATAGATCTTCATTGCGATTCATATTCTCCAAGTTTTATAGATTAGATCTTTTATCATTCCTTTTATACATTCCAAGGTTCGTAATCTCTCATCGCGAGCCGCTCGATGCCCAGCCTCCTACCCTTTGTTCGACATTGAATGAGTACTGATTGATGTTTGCTTTTTAGAGATCTAGTCAGACACCATGGCACCGACGGTACAAGATCCCGATACTTATGTGAAGACCATCCGAGCATCTCCTCCTCCCGGCTCACCCTACTCCCTTGCGATCCCGGGCAGTGCGCGCGAAGATCGCAGTGGTATTTACAGGCATTATCAATTCGTGGATAAGCCATTACTACAAACAATCGATCCAGAATGTTTGACCAGTCATGATTTCTTTGAGAAGGCCGCAAGAAAGAGACCAAATGCTAGATGTTTGGGTCATAGACCTTGGGATCCCGTTACAAAAACTTATGGTAACTATCAATGGATCACGTATGCGGAGACGGCAGAGCGCAGAAAGAATTTTGGTGTGGGATTGGTAGAGCTTCATAAGAGGGCGGGAATCACAGATGATAAGTATGGTGTGGGTCTTTGGTGTCAAAATCGTCCGGAATGGCAAATTG